GGGCGAGCGGCTCGGTGGGAAGCGGCAGCCGCCGCTCCGCGCTTACCGGCGGGCGGCTTGCGGGGCTCTAACCGAGGTATTGAATTGGTGAGCCCCCCAAAAACAAAGCCTTATATTTTAATATCGATCAGCAGATATTTGATTTTTTTTTTTAAATCGTTTCTTTTCCTCGGGAAGCGTTGGGCGGCCGCGGGGCTAACGGCTGTCCCCGGCGGTTGGGCGGGTAGGGGCGCCGGTTGGGCGGGCAACCGGGAGGCTACTCGCCCGCTGTTGGGGGGCAAGGTGCCGGGCGGGGGGCGTTGCGGCTGAGCCCGGGGAGGGAAAGGGGGCGAGCGGTCCCTCTCCTTCCCCCTCTCTTCCCTCCGGCAGGTGTAAGTCAGCGACGCCGGCAGAGGCATGGCCCGTACCAAGCAGACGGCCCGCAAGTCCACCGGTGGCAAGGCGCCCCGCAAGCAGCTCGCCACCAAAGCCGCCCGTAAGAGCGCGCCCTCTACTGGCGGGGTGAAGAAGCCGCACCGTTACAGGTACGCAGCGCCGCGCACCGGCGGACACCGGCCGGTACCGGGAGCATAACCCCCCCCCCAACCTCCCCCCGCCGGGTCGATGCGGGGGGGGGAAAAACGGGAGGGGGGGAAATTCTCAATTCTCCCCGCCGGCACCGCGGTGGGGCTTGTCGCAAAAAAAAACCAAAAACAAAAACCCAAAACCACCATAAATTCCCAGTGCCGTCACCGATTCGCCATTTATCGTTAGCCCCTTCCCCGGGTTTTTCGGTTCTTAAAAAAAAAAATCAACGCCATGATGAACGCGGCTGTGCGATTTATTTTTTAAAATATTTTATTTTTTAAAAAATCGTTATTATTTTTTCACTTCTGTTTATTTAAATGCGGCAGCAGGGTCGCGCAAAGTTTATTGTTAGCGGCGTATCTTAATTGACTTGCGGGGTTCGATCCCTCCTCGGCGCCGTTCGGGCCCCCGGTGGCCGTGCAGAGGCGGGCATCCGCCGCCAGAGGGCGCCACGTGCCCGCCGGTGCGCTCGGTTCGGTCCCCAAAAACCGGCGCCGGTGCCACGGGGAGGGGGGGGGTAGGCAGGGGTGGGCCCAGGGTCTTGGTGGCACCCCTCTAATAACGGGGGGGTCCTTGCTCGGTACAGAAGTCGTGCTTCAGCTTGGAAGGTGATTTTGGGATGGAGGGATGTGTTCCATGGGGAGGGGACAGGGAGAGGGGAGGGGAAAGTGGATTGGGGACAAGAAGCCGGTTTGAAATGGCAAACTTGATCTAAAAGTCCATCACGGCAGGTGTGAGGCAGAGTTAATTGTCCAGGAGAAAGGTAACGAAGCTGGAGTAGGAAAATGCCAAGTTGCTGCAGAAATCAAGGTGGCGTCAGTTTCATGGGCAGACTTTGTGTCTGCGAAAGCACTTTGTTAATCTGAATTTGTCATTCTGACACCAAAACTAACACAAGGAACTATGCTAGGTTGTTTGTACTGCTATGATAATAGAAAAATACTAATTTTGTTAATTCTGTAGATTTTTGGTGTCATGTGTCAGTAGGGAAGAAGAGCCGGATTCTCCTTAAAATTAAGTTTGCTCTTCAGAAGGATACCTATTGCACAGCTGAACCAGCCAGCTCATGGCAGTGTTGGCATCAGTCAGCTAATGTGGGCTGCCCACCCCTTCTTCTGGCTAAGTTGGGGCCACCAGGGCCTCGTGTCTCTGAGGGGTCCCCCATTGAGACCAGTAGGGATTTGCAGGGATCCATGGTGAGAAAACAGCAACCCTTTGCCTGTGAAACTGGGTTTGTGCTGTAAACGTTGGGGCTCTTCTGCTGAAAACAGCACGTGTGTGGTGCTTAGTTTAATTTAGATGATCACAGAATGGTTTGGGTTGGAAGGAACCTTAAAGATTGTGAAGTTCCAACCCCTTGCCGTGGGCAGGGACACCTCCCACCAGACCAGGTTGCTCAAAGCCCCATCCAGCCTGGCCTTGAACCCCTCCAGGGATGGGGCATCCCAGGGGTGACAAACCCTTATATTTAAGGCGATGTAGAATGTCTTGAATACTAATTTTTTTTTTTCTTCTTTTAATGATTTAATTTCCAAGGCCGGGTACCGTGGCTCTGCGTGAAATCCGGCGCTACCAAAAGTCGACCGAACTTTTGATCCGCAAACTTCCCTTCCAGCGCCTGGTGCGTGAAATTGCTCAGGATTTCAAGACAGATCTGCGCTTCCAGAGCGCTGCCATCGGTGCTTTGCAGGTGAGCCTTACCCAGGGCATCCCCCCCCAAAAAAAACCTGGGGGGGCTGAAGGTGAGGGAGGGCTCCGCCTCCCCCTCTCCTCCCATTGGCCGGCCTGTTTCTAGGCTAAGCCCCAGCTCCTCCTGATTGCTGGGCTGCCGCGGTGGGCGTGGCCTCTCCCAGGAGGGAGCTGAGATTTGGGGGGATGCACCCCTCAACCTTGCATTGCTCAGAGGGGACCACAGGCAGAAATAACAGTGTCAGCTCTGCAGCTCCTCACAAAGGATATAAATATGGGCTCGCAGGGGTGTTGTGCCTTTTTTTTGGTGGTTTTTATTATTTTTTTTATTCTTTTTTAATACCTCCTGCCCCTCAAGTAGTTGCAGTGGATGGAACTATGCATCTTATGAAGATACTGGATGTAAATGTGTTTTCTCGAGCTTTGTTAGAGGCTTTGCCTCTGGAAGCCGTGCGGTCTGGGAGGAGAGCGCTGCCCTGCAAAGCTTGTTCTGGCGTGTGCAAATGGCGGTCTTGGTGTCCTCAAATGCTCTTTTGGGGAAAAAAAACCAACAGACCAAAACAGCTCGATAAGCCACATCTAAGCCCAGTTAAAGAAATAAGGGCTTTTGTATGACTCAGTCGATATTAAACACATTTTTTTAAAAATATATTAGTTAAATACCTTATTTAGAGTATATTGAGGGTGAAACATTGATTGCTCTTTCTGGCCCAAATTCTTGCATCTAAGTTAGGTCCACTCCAATACCGTGTTCTCATCACAGGAACGTTTCCCTCTTGCGATAGAAATAACACTCCTGATTAAAGAACAGTAAAGTCCTATCTTTAAGATTGTTTCAGAACCTGTTTGCAATCGTAGAATGTCTGATATTCAGGCGAAATTGTCTTTTTTTCTGGTTAATGGCTTCCTCTTGATAAGGGCCAAAGCATATGCCATGAGGTGCTATAAACTTGAGCACGTGCTTAGCTTCAAAAGGTGGCTGCCTGCGTTTGCAAAGTGTCTGCTTTTGGTTGTTTTTCTGTCTTCGCTGCTGTGAGCGAACGTGGTAGTTCTTAAATCCTGAGGTTTAACTATATGTCTCTTTGTCAGGAACTGCTGCTTAAAATTTAGTCAGTAGTTAATACATTTTTCAGAAGGTTGGTTTTGCATTAAGGAGGTGTTGGTTTAGAACTTGTTCCTGTACTATTCCTAGTGCTTCCTGCTTGTGTATTTGCAAAAAGAACTTTTAACCCCTTTAGTGCCATGTTGTTCGTGCCGTTACAGCTTATTTAAGTGTCTTAACTTCTCACTTGGTGCTTTAGCAAAACTCTGTTAGAGGAACTTAGGGTAGCTATATCCTACTGGATACAAAAAGACTTAATTACTACAGCAGATGAGGTCTGTAGTATTAGTATTTTTCATTCTTTGTATTAAATGCTCTGTGTTTTTAAACAGGAACTTTGAACTCAGTAGGTTGATTTTTGTGGTTCCTGGTAACGAAGTGGCTCACGCGAGCGTGGTTTGCTCTTGCATGTGTTTTAGAAAGATGGACCTCAGCCTCCTGTCTGTGGGCGAGCCCCATCATGCTGCTGTGGCCTGGTCTGATGTTGGCTGCCGAGATGCTTCCTAGAAGATTGCTAGGTGTTAGAATTCTTTATCAACCCAAAAACCTGTAAACGGTTACCATTCCTGGGCTTTGCTTTTTTTAGCGCTTGCCAATTTCGCCAGATGCTTAGTAGCTCTTACTATGGAAGAGGCAGCAACAAGTCACTCGAATAGTCTAATCCAGCCTTTAAAAAGAAGTTTCTAAAGAAACTGGCCTTTTGATAAGATAACCCGTTATTTTGTGAGAGTGCCATCAGAGTATTTGTCTGTGTTTTGGGGGCTATCTTTGCCAAATGGGAGTAGTACACAACTTTGACATAAAACATTATTTGGTGGTTTATAAGAAAATGGAGGCTTTTATTTTTTTGAGAATCTGAACCTTTTGTTGTTTGTGAGAAATAAAGGTAGAAGCCTAAATTTAACGCCACGTTATATTGTACTTTGAATTATTACTATTACTTTTTCCTCGTGCTCAGAGACTGAAAGTGTGTTTTTAACTCTTTTTTTTCTAGGAGGCAAGTGAAGCCTACTTGGTTGGCCTGTTTGAAGATACCAACCTGTGTGCTATCCATGCCAAACGTGTCACAATCATGCCAAAAGATATCCAGCTAGCGCGCCGCATACGTGGGGAGCGCGCCTAAACTTCACCGCGATGGGTTTGTCATTCTCGAAGCAAAATCTTCTTCCTGTTATTGGTAGTAATGAACGTTAGATATTTTTTCCATGGGGTTAAAAGGTACCTAAGTATATGGTTGCAAATGGAAAAATAGGGGACAGAATTGGGTATTGGCAAGTTTTTTCCCATTTTCATTTGTGTGTGGATTTTTACTATAAATGAGGGGGCATAAAACATCAATGCGGTCAAAAAAAAAAAGATATGTTTCGGTGAACAAGTTTCAACAATTCAACTTTATAAAAAAAGAAAATTATAAATAAACCTGTCAAATTTTTCTGGACAATGCCAGCATTTGGATTTTTTTAAACAAGTAAATTTCTTATCAATGGCAACTAAATGGTGTTTGTAGCATTTTTATCATACAGTAGATTCCATCCATTCACTATACTTTTCTAACTGAGTTGTCCTACATGCAAGTACATGTTTTTAATGTTGTCTGTCTTCTGTGCTGTTCCTGTAAGTTTGCTATTAAAATACATTAAATGATGCCTGCTTTTAGTCTTGATTTTTTTTTTTTTTTATTAGTACATATTTGATTAAAAATAATCAGCCATCCCTTTCCTTTTTCTCTTCAATATGTGGCCTAAATGCTTGGAGCAGCTCTAGGAAACACTGAGGATACTACCTTGGCTGAAGTAGTGTATGCGTGAAAGGTTGTTTTTTTTTTAGGGTATAAAACTTGTGTCTGCTGCAGGTGAAAGCAATTTTGGTGAGTATTTTGCTGGAGCTGGACTGAGCTCTCTAATCTACAGTACTAAGAAAAAAAAAAACAGGTTTGTTGCCATTTAGACTCCTTTCTTACTCGAATTAATGTTGAATTTGGAAGCATTTCTGATTTTCATGGTTCATTGGTATGCTATAAGCGGTGGGGTGTGGTGGTTTGGGCTTTTTTTGGTGTGTTTTGGGGGTTGGTGTTTTTTACCCCTCCCTTTTTTTTTAAAAAAAAAATAACCCCAACCCTTTTGCACCATGTAATCTGGTTTCTCGGTTTGTAGGTGTTCACTTCTTGGTTGACTACCTTTCTGTTTGTCACACCCTCTGGCATGATTGAGAGCTTAGTCCACATGTGATTAGTTTCAATTTGTACACTCTACTCACAAGACACTTTTGTACCATTTTTGTTACTTGCAATACTTCATAGAAGCAGTATTTAGGAGCCCACAACTAAAACTTAATTTATTTTTTTTTATATCCCCTCCTAATTGCTGCTAAAAGTTCCCGTGAAGAAATTTACTGCTGAAATTATGTTCTACAAAAACTTGGGTTTAATTTTTTTACCTGGAACTCGGCTAAGGATCCTGATGGACCAGTCTGGAAGTGAGTTACATGGTGTACTTTTTGATAGCTCTTGTGGATAATGAAATTAGTTACAGAGAAGAAAATATGTAGGCAGTGAACAGATTTCACCTCTGTGCTAAGACCCCCACGGAGCTTATTTGCTGTTAACTTCTTTCAAGAGGTTCTGAGTGAGCTCTGAGCACATGAGTGAATTTGTCTGAAGATTTCCAAAGAGGATTAATAGAGATGTATTATCTGCTTTGGTATCTTGAACGGAGAGCCAAAAATTATAGAATAAATCACATTATTCATAACTCGCTCGGCTCTAGTAATGGATGCTGTCTGCCAGGGTTGTGTGGAGTGAAGTCTATTTAAATGGAGTAGCTTGTCACAGAGAAAACTAATGCTAGATAAATGTGATCACATCCTTTGGTGCCAAGCAAATTCGTAGCTATCAATGAAAAATTAAGCAAGACTTGTCTTGGAGCATCCCCAACAACAGAAATATGAAGGGTGAGCAACTGAGGCTTACCTGATTTAAGGTGACACTTCTGTCTACTTGTTAACAACCCTGATAAACTTACTATGGATGCATTTCAATGTAATTAACTACTTGTTTTGTCCCGTACTTCAGAATTCTGTTTCATACATCAGTCAACAATGCTGCAACCACCTACACAAAAAGGTAACTAGATTGTGGGGTTTGTTTTGTTTAATAACCTGGAATTGAAGTATGGATAAAGAACTTAACTTTTTCATTATTAGGTATATTAGAAAAAGAATATTTTTTTTTTTTTCCCCTATAGCAATTCTGCTATTTCCTGGGCAATTCAGTTACAGCTGAGATTTTAAACACTAGAAACAAGTTGTGGTCATGTGGACATCCTCCTGGGGATGAGTTTATCTCTCCACCCCACAGAGTTAGATGTGACGTGGCTGCTTACTTGTTAGTGACAAGCACACTCAAGGGTTGAACATCTGTTCAAGGCACATCCTTGCATGTATGTCCACGTTTCAATTTCTGAACTGTTTTGTGAAGTCTTTTATAAAGTGTAGGTGATCAGCTGTTCTTTAGGTCTTTGTTTTAGATTTGCACATTAGCAACATTGACTTCCTATTTTCTCAAGAGTAAATACAAATTTTTATTGATTTTTTTTTTTTTTTTTTTTTTTTTCCTGAAGTTGGATGCTTTAGATTAGCAACACAAAAAGCAAGCTTGCCTCCTGGAGCTAAAAATTAACATACCTGGAAATAACTTCAGACACAGGACCAGTCTCTCTCGTGGGGCTGTATCAAATTCAACCGGTAGTTTGTGAGAGCTTGACTATAGCGTGGAGCTTCAACCCAGTATTTCAGGATTTGTTTAGAAAAGTAACTTGCTGAATATAAAGTAAGTAATATTGGTGTACCTATGGTTAAGTAACACATTGTTGAGCTGGGTTCACCCAGCCCTTTATCCCTTGGGGACCAGATTCATTAATGCCTGCTCTATGACAGGTTGTAGTACCTACTTGAAATTAGTGATGCCATTTTGCCCAGGAAGGAGAGTAAGTGCAACTATTTCTGTTCAACTGCTCACTCACAGTCTCTTACACAGGTGAATTTTTGGGGATGCGTGTTGTAATTGGGCTTGTTGTCTCAGGATGTGCATTCTTTGTCCTCTGACTTTCACGGTGGTTTATGACCGCTCAGTGATTCATTTGAATCCACTCAATGTGACCAAAACCAGTGCCTCTTTCTCACCTACTTCCTGTGCCAAAGTTTTTGGTCAGTTAGCCAAATAATTTGCCTCTGCATATCTGCTTGATCTGAAGTACTAAAGCAGGCAGGAGAGTAGGACTATCTATTTCTCTGGAGGGATACAGTCTGGATTTAAGGTATTGTGAAACTGAACCGAAACTTTTAGGCCTGTGCTACTGTTCTAATACCAGCTTCTCCTGCCTCTCTTGACGCTGTTTTATCTTCCAGAGCTTAATTTTAAATTCAATGTTCAGTGAAGTAAAGGTAGTGTTGAGATCAAATATGTTGATTGCGTTGTTTTATGCAATTTTGATTCTTCTATGTAACAAACACATGTGCAATTCTTCTTTGTCTTCATAATGTGTAAGGAGTTAAAAACACTTTTCATGTAACTTGACTTGAATTCAGAGGAGGAATTCTAGTGCCAGGGAAGTCTGTGGTGGTGGTGTTTTGGTTTGGGTTGGTTTGTTTTTTTTTCCCCTTGGTCCAGATCACCCTGTTGCTATTGGGGAGCTGTTTGGTCACCTTTTGTGTATTATTTCCATCATTGTGTGTAACGACTTATCATTAGTGCTGAGATTTTTTTTTGCACTAAGTGGATGTTGCGGACTTGTTTATGGCAGGTTTGCCTACAAACAGACAAGTATTTTGCTGAACAAAAAGCCACTGTTTAAGTATTTTCATATACTTAGGTGTTTGTTTTTTTTAATCTGAGGAGGCTTTGTTACCTTCTGACCTGGATAATGCGAAGGGGCTGTCTGGTTTCTGTTTGGTGGAGCTAATGTCACATAGTTGATAAAGGCAAAACATTGCTCTCAAAAAAACTCTCACAAACAATAAGAATTTACTACTTTTTATGTATGTTTTGGAAGGGTGTCTCAGCACAGCATGAGCCCTCTTTTGAGGGTTATATTTCAAAGCGGTGATTGCCTGGTTGGGGAAGCAGACACCCCTCATCATGGTGTCATGTTGTTGGACAGCTATTACTCGAGGTGCATCCCTCTCCTGCCACCCAGGTGAGAATGAAGTAGTTGGGCCAGGAGAGTTCTGTTGTGTGGCCAAATATCTACTCCAGATGAGACGAGTTCAGGTGACACTTCAGGAGCTGCAAATGGAGGAGTAGGATTGAGGAGGGACATGCAGGTAAAGGATATGTCTTTTTCTTCTCTTGCCATTGTAGCTGACTTTCTCGCTGGACAGAATTATGACCTATTTCAAAGGGAATTTCTGCATAGAAAGTTGGTTTCTGGGTGTTCTCACAGAGGCAGCTGTTATACATGTGGGTTTTCTCTGATTCATACCACCCCTTCCCATCTTCCGTGGCCCATACATGAGGATATTAATAAAATTTAAAATAATAAGAGTACAATAATCACAAAACAAACCCCAAAACCATCTACAAATCTGATGCTTATAGTAGACAGATGCTGCTTTTATCCAAGAATTTTCTGTGTGTGCCTGGCAGTAATGGAATACTTCTGAATAAATGGGGAAAGACAGCCTGAATTACAGCTGTGTGAGGGGCGTTTTGGTTGCCTCCTGCCTATCATCCCTGGGGGTGTTACCTGTTACATGTTCACAATTACAAATAAATACATGAGAAATTATTTATTTAAAATGAAGAGTGTGAGGAAATGCCTGCAAAATGCTGAGGCTTAGGGATGCTCTCAGTTGCAGCGTGCCTGGACAGAATGGTGATGCTATCCCTTCCCAGCAGCAAGGAAAGTCCAGGCACTTGGATAAAATCCCACAAAAGATGAGGTTGGGGGTCAAAGGCAGGTATTGGGGGGTGTGTGCTCTCCAAGTGGGCATCACAGTCACTGTGGTGTGGGGAAATGAGCCTAGATTTCTGTCCGTCTCTCTTGATAATGCATTTGTAGGTTGACACATAGGATGGATTCTCTGCATTGTTGTCCCCTGCCAACAGCATCCCCTTCATCTCCTCGTGCAGGCATCCCATGGCACCCAGCGGGATCTCTAACAGTAGGGGTGCTTTATGTTACTAGAGGCTCCTCTGAAGTCAGAAGCATTTAAGGAAAAAATAAAAAGTAAAGCCTGAAAATGAGACCACACTTCCCTCACTCCCCCCAAAATGTGTTTCTGTGGCTCTGGAAACCACTTATCTCTGCTGCTAGTTTGGGGGCTCTAGGTTCTTGTCCCCCTCCCTTGGTGAGAGCTTGTTCTTGCCGCCTCCTTGTATGATGTTTGTGTAGATGCTGCTTTATGGAAGCGTCCCAAGTAAAATCCAACTGGAACATACATGTCCTGCGGTGACTGCAGGATAATTCCATATGCCTCCGTGATAAATGTTAACCCTTGGCTTGGCCCCCACCACCCTTTGCTCAGGAACAATTGGGCCGGTTGATGCCCTCTCCTGCTAACTTAGATTTGCAAGAGATTTTTTCAAGTTCAAGCGCTTTTGAGTTTTTCTTTGCGTCTGTTGGTGAGGGGGCATAATTATCTCTTCTGCCTTTG